AAAGCGAAAGAAAAAAATTATGGCTCGGCTCGACGGCATTCAGCGCTGCTTGGGATGCCAAAGCAGTAATGGTCTTATAAAGCTTGAAAGAAAACTAAGGAAAGATTTGGAGGAAACTCTTCACCAAGAAGAATTAAATTGGTTTCAGAAGTCAAAGGAAGATTGGATTCGCTCAGGGGATTTGAATACAAAGTTTTACCATGCCGCAACCATGACCCGCCGCATTAGGAACAAGATTTAAGGCCTGAAAAACGAAGATGACGAATGGGTAAGGGACACAGCTTCAATGGAAGCATTGGTTCAAAATTATTACAAGCATCTCTACTCTCGTGAGGATGAGGATTATAACCATGACAGTTTTAGAGGGATGTTTCCGATCATTCAAGAGGAACAATGGAGACAAATAAATAGAAATGTCACTAAAGAAGAAGTCCGGGATGCCCTAATGGAAATGGCACCCCTTAAAGCACCCGGACCTGACGGTTTACATGCAATGTTTTATCAGAAGACTTGGAATATTGTAGGTGATAGTCTTCACCAACTTGTGGAGGGTTTCTTCCAAAATGGCAGTCTCCCGAATGGAATGAACGAAACCAACATTGTTTTAATCCCGAAAGTGCAGCAGCCGGAGAAGGTCACGCAATTACGGCCCATCAGTCTTTGTAACGTGGCTTACAAGTTAGTTACAAAAGTTATGACAAACCGGCTTAAGGTTATTATGTCAGATATCATTAGTCCTAACCAAAGCAGTTTTATCTCCGAAAGACAAATTACAGACAACATAGTAATTTATCAAGAAATTCTCCACACCTTACGTACCGAGAAGAAAATGCCTGGTTATATGGTGATAAAGATTGATCTTGAAAAAGCATACGACAGACTCGATTGGAGATTTATTCGCAGCACCCTTCGGGAAGTGGGTCTAAATAGTGATTGGATCAGAAACATAATGCATTGCGTGGAAACGACAGGAATGTCCATTTTATGGGAAGGAAGGAAACTCGACAGATTCAAGCCGGAAAGAGGGGTTAGACAAGGAGACTCCATGTCACCCTACCTTTTTGTAATGTGCATAGAGCGGCTTGGGCATATAATCACTGAGGCAGTGGCCCAAGGACGTTGGAAAGGCGTCAAAGCATCAAGGAATGGCCCGAGCATATCACACCTTTTTTTCGCCGACGACATGGTCCTGTTCGCGGAGGCAACCGAGAATCAGATACACACAATCATGGAGTGCCTTGAAAGGTTCTGTAAGTCCTCTGGCCAAAATATTAATAAGCTTAAATCAAATATTTTTTTTTCCAATAGTGTTTGCAGGGAAAACGCAAGTAGATTGGCCACCATTGCGGGCATTCCAGCAACGGATGATCTAGGACGATACCTAGGTGTCCCCTCGCTCCATGGAAGAATTACAAAGGATCATTGCAAAAGCATCCTTGATAGAGTGCAAAGCAAGTTAGAAGGATGGAAAACCCGCTTCCTTAGTTTGGCAGGAAGACAAGTCATGGCTCAAGCGGTCATCAATGCCATCCCTTCATTTGCCATGCAAACCATGTTGATTCCCAAAGGGGTATGTGACGCAATCGACAAGACGACGAGGAATTTCATTTGGGGTGGAGATGGGATCAAACGTAAAACTAGTCTTGTAAACTGGGATACAGTAACGAGATCAAAAGCTGGAGGAGGACTTGGTATAAAATCCATGCGACACATGAATCTTTCCCTTCTAGCCAAACTAGGATGGCGAGTTCTGAAGGAGGAGAAAGGCACATGGTCTCAGGTCATTTCTGCCAAGTATATGAAAGCAGGAAGGAACATCGTCAATATGACTCGGAAACGCAATGACTCGAATATTTGGAAGGGAATATGCGCTGCTGCCCCAACCATTGAAAAAGGAATTATTAAGGTGGTACGAAATGGAAGGGATACCCTTTTCTGGAATGAACGATGGATTGGTAAGGAACCTCTCCGGAATTTCTTAATAGGGCCAATGCATAAAGACATGGAGAACATCAAAGTAGCGGAGCTTTGGGAGGAGAGGGGATGCTGGGATTGGAGTCGAATAGATATTGGTCTTCACCCAGACAAAAGAAGGGAATTGGCTGCCAAAGCTATCCTTAGAGATGAGAATAACAGAGATAGCATGGGTTGGGGCCCGAGTGAAAACAGAATTTTCACAACCAAGTCCGCATATAGCTTAACGACGCAAATGAGAGAGCAGCCGGACAACGCAGACTGGAATTCAATATGGAAAATCCGTGTTCCAAATCGAATCCGGGCGTTTATCTGGCTAGTAATGCATGGGCGAATCATGTGCAATTCTGAGCGAAGAAAAAGGGGCTTCACAGCGGATGAGCGTTGTAATATTTGCGGAGCAGAGAAAGAGGATGTGGAGCACACTATCAGGAGTTGTCCGGCAGCGGAGGCTGTCTGGAAGAGGATAAACATCGGCAATAATCCAGGTACACTACCTTCCTCTAACTTTAATCAATGGTTGAGTGGTAATGTGACAGGAAATCAAAATAGCCAAAGAAGCAAGCAGAGATGTGCAAGGTTCGCCATTACGGCATGGTGGATTTGGAAGTGGAGGAACAACAACGTGTTTAATGGAGCTGAAAAAGACATAAACGAGAAGATTGATTGGCTACAACAACAGTTCAAAGAAATAGAAACTGTGCTGGAGAGGGCTTCTGGACCGGACGGCAGACAACGAAGGGATAGCAGGCGCAACCAGCCTTGGAGGCCGCCGAATACGGGATGGATAAAAATCAATACGGATGGCTGTGCTCGGGACAACGAGGATGCAGCCTGTGGCGGCGTTTTAAGAGACGAGGAAGGCCATTTTCTAGGAGCTTTTTCTAAGAGAATCGGAACTTGCAGCGCACTGGAGGCAGAAATATGGGGAATTTACACTGGGCTTGAGAAGGCTTGGGAAAAAGGCTACCGCAAGGTAGTGATCGAAACAGATTGTGCAAGAGCTACCACACTCATTAATGGGGCTGAGAACTATGAAGGACCAGCAACAAATCTAATCCAGTTGTGCCACGCGATAAGAAGGCGAAGTTGGGAGGTTGACATTATCCATGCTCCCAGAGAACACAATAGAGCAGCTGATATGATGTCTAAGCACGCTTATAACCTTACTGAGGATTTCAAGTGGTTCGTGAGACCACCTACCGCGATGTTAAGAGTCCTGCGTGAAGATGAATTGGGCTTCTTGGGTGCTGAGCATTCTGTGAGAATCGCATAATGATTCCTGGGTGTCCCCCTCCTTTCCCTCCAAAAAAAAAAAAAAAAAAAAAAAAAGAGCTCAAATGAAAGGGACTAATCCAGCTTTCAATGTAATGAGGGTCCTAAGGGATGAGGAGTTATTAGATGCTTATTGTGCCAGATTATTTGAAGATCAAGACAAAGATCTCATGTCACAGCAAATAGAAGAGGATGAGAACACTTCTGAACATTCTGAGGTGAATTCTGTTGACCTAAACCCTATTTTTTATGGAAATACATTTAGCATTTTTTAATTTTTTTTATACCTATTGTTTTGCAGGGAGCCTCTAAAGAAGAAGATGTCAATAGTCCTGCTAACACACAACCAACAGAATCCCAAGTTAATGCTAAACCTGATTCACCTACTACTAAAAAGTCACTGCTGGATCAGTTTTCATCTTTAAAAGGGAGCAAAAGGTCTAAGGGGGCAGTCATTAAGAAAGAAAAGATGAACTGAAGTGTTTCAAAAACATTTGTAAAGAACATTTTAAGCTTTTGAGCTGTGCTTTGTTTTCTTATTCTGAATTGCACTTAACTTTTTGTTGACTATTTGGTTTTAATGATGATGTGGTATTTACCAAAGCACTTTATTATTGTTATATTATTTAATTGTTAGTTGCTATTATTTTCTAAGTTTTGTTATCTGTTTAAGTCAAAAAATTGTTGATAATTATGTATGTTTTATTCTGTTATTTACTATGTTTTATTTTCTCTGATTTATTTACTATTACTTTAGGATACTATTGTCTCTGATTTATTTTCTATATTATTCACTGGAATGACTTTAAGACAAATAACATATACTATAGTGCTTATAATGTGTCTTGCTCTGTATAAACAATGCTAATGCTTTAGAACATGTTGTTTGCCTTTAATAAGGTCAACTAAGACAATTGAACTGAAGTTCTAATTCATTTATGAGCTATAATGTACTATGTGTGTTTCAATCACATGCCTATTTCCTTATTTATGTCTTCTTCCTGTCTAATGCCTATATATCTTCAAATAGATAGATATTTTTCAAACTTAGGATGGAAAAAACCAAGGATAACACTTCTGCGGTTCTGCCAGGTCACTGACTTAAAAATAAACAAACAGTTCACATGTCAAATAAACACTCGCAATTTATAAGATAAATAGCAATCACTTTGGTTGGACAAATAACTCATCTAGGCAAATACTTATAAAAAAAAAAAATCAGCTCCTTCAATGTTAAAAACGAATGCATCACATTTATCTATAATTACTTTAGTTGAACGGAAACTAAAAACAGTATTTGCTATACTGTAGTGTTTAAAAAGTTGGATTTTGATATGAAAGTTAGAGATAGTATTATAAAGTTATGTTGTTGCTTACTTAAACAAAAAAAAAAAAAAAAAAAAAAAATTCAGCTCCTTCAATAATTAACAAAAACAAATTTCAAATTCCTCAATTTTAAGAATAATGCAGCACAGTTATTTATAATCTCATATTTTAGTTGAAGTTGAACTTAAAACAAGTATTGATTATAGTATACATGCATAACCTGCATAAAACCAACACTAAACCGACCAATATCACCAAGTAAGTATTAGCAGAAACAACACAATTTTAATACATCAATTAATTAATATTCAACAAGCTAGAACAACTGTTTGAGCTGTATTTCATCCCCAAAACCTACTTTTTTCTGTCACTAATTAAACAACACGATCGGCTCGCAACATATCGATCTGGAACTCGCAGCAGCACTACCATTGAACTGGAATAGGAAAATTTAAGAGTCAGCCATTGTTAATTGGGCAATCTAGGTGAAGCAAGCTATATTATGTACGTAATATATATATATATATATATATATATATATATATATATATATATATATATATATATATATATATATATATATATATATATATATATGTGTGTGTGTGTGTGTGTGTGTGTGTGTGTGTGTGTGTGTGTGTGTGAGTGTGTTGCTTCATTCTCATGGTATAGTAACTAGAAAGCTGATCATTGAAATTTTTGGGAGTAGATCAACAAGGCTACCAGGCAACAATAAATAAACCTAAACAAAGCTAAGACAATATATGTTGATCCCGACAATATTGATAAGATTGTTGACTTGGTAATCAGAATGTTACAAGTTCAACTCCCACCGGTAAGCTATGGACAACCTAGTTTGGGGTTTACGTACCCCGTGTTAGAACTAGAGATGGACACCAAAGTGGTTATTGACAATGAGTTTGGACCATATATATATATATATATATATATATATATATATATATATATATAAAAGGTTAGGTTCGCGTGCAGCGGTGCGGTCACTCGGCAAGTATAAATATATGCACCACAAAATGTTCAGAAATGCATCATTAGGTGTATTGCAATATGGTGTGATGCATTAGTGCATTTTCGAACAATGTGTGGTACATTTTTGAATACCTAATGGTGAATCTACTCCGGTTGCACGGGAAACACTGTACGCATTTGAACTGATAATATACCTGCAGTGTATATATATATATATGACATTATACCTGGTAAACCTGCAAGAGCAGCAGCTGCCCTTTCTCTACTCTTTGCATGTTCAAGTTGAATGTGCAGCCTTTCTATTTCAGCGTCCATAGAAGCTATATGCCTCTCCATTACCTGGCTCTGTTGAAGGTGAGTGGCGTACATCTTCCTCTCATTTTCAACAGCAGCCCTGTCCTTGTCCAAACCAGAAGAATATAATGCAGCTATTGAAACAAATTAAAAGCAGAAGAACAGACTCGAGTCTCAAGGAATTGAATAAGCTAAGGGAGATATATAAAAAGTAAAATGAAGAACAAAACTATATCTATAAATCTGTATTATCATTCAAGTTTCACACATTGATCTGGGTATCTAATTAAACATGGCTCGCTGTCCAGTATTTATATATGAACTCAAACTTAGAATATAATCATTCACTGCATACTGTTAAAGGAAGAATCAAAGAAACTTAACCCATAATTGGTTTAATTTTGTGAAAGAAACAAGGGAAATGTGGCATTGAGGTTTTTGTGTGGCAAAATAGCAAATGCCTCAATTAAGTTGGCAAACACTACTCAAATTATTATCTCTCAGGCTAGGGCTCTCTTTTCTTCTTGTTTTAATTTGATCTTCTCAAATTGTTGATCAACTAGTTTAGCATTTTCTCTGCAACTTTAACATATATAATTGCCAATCATCTATAAAGTACCCATTTTTCTGAAAGATTAATGTTTTCCATGAAGAAGATATGTGATACCTTCCTCTTTGAACTTCATTGCGCATGGTATCGATCTCAGCTTTGATCGCCTGAAACTGCTTCACCTCCGGGAGAATCCTCATCTGCTCATCGCCGATCTCCTTCATCTGAGCAACGAGCTCTGTACGCCGGGCGTTCAGTTTCTCAACATCGGCGGTCACCTGGGCCCACTGATTTCGGAGCTCGTCGTCGGCGGCGCGGATATCCAAGTCCATTATAAGCGACTTCTCGTACACCTCGCTCACCTGAGCATCCGCCTCGGCCTTGACGGCGGAGGCGGTGGAAGAGAGGTGCCGGAGCTCCTGCTCGGCGGCGGCGAGCTCCCGCCTCAGCCCGACGTTCGAGACGGCGAGGCGATCGTTCTCGCGAAACAGGGTTTCGATATGGCGTTGCTGGGAAGCTATGCGGTGGTCCTCCATCATGAGCCCCGCCGCCGGGTGAACTCCGGCATGGGGTGGTGGGACGCGGAGGATATTCCGACGGTCTTCGAATTCCGGCGGGTCGCCCCGGAGCCTCAATGCACTTGGCGGTAGATAATTCCGACGCTCCATGAGTGCAAACTGCAAAAAAGCTTCGAAGCTTGAATTATTATGAAAAGGGAAACCCAGCTGTTGTTTTATGTGCGTTATGAACGAATTTGGATAATAATTTACTTTCTTATAAATATGAAAAATGCAACACTAGATTCATTGTCAATTTCTCGTGTAGCTCCCAAATAATATAATTACATAAATACTATGTAAATAAAGATTATATAAATTTCTTCGTGAGTAATTTTATCAATAACCATTAAGAATCACTTTATGATTTCACATAATAAAAAATATCAAAGATTTTTTTTTTCTTCAAATTTTCAAACTACAAAACAAATGTAATTTTATTTATAATCATAATCATTATTACAACATATTACCTATATATTTATTTCTACAACGTCCACCTACCAATTCTATTATCGCTCTTATTTGCTTACCTAACTCCGATCACTTCACTACGTTACTTTTACTATGTATCTACACGTCACCGCTACTATGACTACATTCGTTTCTATTTTCTCTTATTTTTATATTATTTACTCAATTCTTCATTTACTTATTCCAATGTAACATGCTTACATCCACTCATAATTAGAATTTACTTATATTATTAGAATTAAATTCAATTTCAACCCAAATTTTAAATTTTGGATAAATTTCATAAATTATTGAGTTCAAAATTATAACTATAATATATGTAGATATAAATTTAACTCAAATATTGAATGCCAAAATTTTATATATTCTTAACTTATTGATACGCGATATATTTTTTCTTCATTTTTAGTTTCTCGAATATTATATTGTATATCTTCTGAATTTGGTTATTAACTATGATTTTTAGTCTCACGACTATTATGCCACTTTCACATTTAGTCGTAACGTATTATTTTTACTTCATTTAGCATGCGAATTTTATTTTTTTGCCATACTTGGTCCTTTGACCAAGTCTTTGGTAGAAAACAATAAAGATGTGGCCAAAATCATACATTTATATGCAACAATAATATCGAGATATTTAAGTTGGTATTGTGAGCATATAGCCATTAACGTGCAATTCAACTACTAGCTTAGGTTTTTAGTTGAGATGGAGCACATGCTTCAATTTGGTATCAGACCAAAGGTCATGGGTTCGAAACCCAACGCCACTCGTAAGCGACAACGGTTTACCGGTCCACGTGTGTCCCAACGCCACTCGTAAACCGTTACGTGTGTCCCAACGCCACGCGACAACAGTCGGTTTACCGGTCCACATTTTGGTTGGAACCCACCGTACATGTGAGGGTCGACGCCACTCGTAACGGTTTACCGGTCCACGTGTTGACGGTGAAAATTCTGGATATACCAATAAATAAATAAATAATATAAAAAACAAGAGAAAATAGAAACGAATATAGTCATATTTACAAGAAAGTGAATTATTATGCAAATTGGTTATAAGAAATGTAAAAGTAAATTTTGGATCCACTGACATGATAAATTGTTGTAAAAAAAATTGACATGATAAATTAATTACTATAAATAAATTACTTTAATATTTATTTTGGGTCCACTATATCATGTCTATAGTGAACCCAAAATAAATATTTAGGTAATTTATTTAGTCTACTATAGACATGATAAAATACATACTTATATGGTAAAATATAATAATGATTATTACGTCACTTTCACATTTAGTCATAAAGTATTATTTTTACTTTATTTAGTGTGTGGATTTTTTATTTTTTATTTTTGCCATACTTGGTCCTTTGACCAAATTTTCTTTTAAAAAAATAATGAAAAATTGTGGCCGAAATCATACATTTGCATGCAACAATATTGAGATATTTAAGTTAGTATGATTTTAAGTTGAGAATGTAATAAATTATTAAATTGAAAATGTAATAAATCACTATAGACAATAAATAAATTAAGAAATGAGTAAATAATATAAAAACAAAAAACAAAAAAAAAAACAAAAAACAAAAAAACAAAAAAAAAAAAAACAAAACAAAACAAAAAAAAAAACGAATGTAGTCATATTTATAAGAAAGTAAATTTTATGCAAATTGGTTATAAGAAATGGAAAAGTAAATTTTGGGTCCACTATAGACATAATAATCAATATAAATAAATTACTTAAATATTTATTTTGGGTCCCCTATAGATATGATAAATTACTTATAAGCTAAAGTATAATATTTTTGATGAAAAAAATAATAATTTCACATCAAAATGTAAAAATATTACATTTATCTTTAAAAATATTACATTTTTTCTTATAAGTAATAAACATTTTATTCATGATTTAGTATTACATTTGCTAGTATAATAAGTATTATGGAAATTTCTTTGTGGCATTTTATGAACAACCATTAAAGAGTCACTTTATGATTTAACATAATAAATATAAAAGAATAGTCATAATTATTATCGCATATTTACCTACCTATTTATCTCTATCACGTCCACCTACCTATAAAAATAAAGATTACGTAAATTTCTTTGTGAGTAATTTTATTAACAACCATTAAAGAATCGGGTTATGATTTCATCACATAATAAATATAAAACACTTTTATTTTTTCAAAATTTCAAATTATAAAGATACACATAATTTTATTTATAATCATAAATATTACTCCGTGCTACATATTTACTTACCTACCTATCTCTAGTCTCTACCATGTCCACCTAGCAATTCTACCGCCACTCTTATTTGCTTACTTAACTTCCCTTCCCTACTATTACTTTTTCTCTGTATCTAACGCCATTATGACTATATTCGTTACTATTTTCTCTTGTTTAATATATAGTATTTTCTTCTTCTTTTTTTTTTCTTTTTTTTTTTTTTTTTTGGGTTTAATAGTATTTTCTTGATTCTTCATTTACTTATTCCAATATAACATGCTTACACATACTCATAATTAGATTTTATTTATATTATTAGAATTTACTCAAATTCAATCCAAATTTTAAATATTGGATAAATTTGATAAGTTATTGGGTTCAAAATTCGTAACTATAATGTATGTAGATATAAATTTAACTCAAATATAGAATGCCAAAATTTTATATATACTTAACTTATTGATACTATATATAATTTTTTTTCTTCACTTCTAATCTATTGACTATGGTACATCTTTCAAATTTGGTTATTAACTATAAATTTTTCTATATTTAGTGAATGACTATTGAATTTCAATCAGACTTATTTCTATGTTTGGTCTCAACACTATTATGTCATTTCCACATTTAGTCATTAAATATTATTTTATTATTTTTGGTGCACAAGTTTAATGTTTTTTTTTTTTATATATATACTTGGTCCTTTTAACCAAATATTCGGTAGAAAAAAAATGCATCACATATTCACATTTCTAGTTCAAAATTATACAATTAAACACCAAAGCATAGAGATATTTAAGTTTGTATGATTTTGAGTTGAAAATGTAATAAATTGTAGTAATTTTCTATCAAAACTTTGGCCAGATAGAGTAAATGTTGATAAAAAAAAAAAAGAAAAAGAAAAAAAGAAATGCACTAAATATGACAAAAATAATACATGCTAACCAAATATAGAAGTAACCTAGTTGTATGACAAAAAATGGAAATAACTCATTATTGCTACATTTGATCATCCTAATAAATTGTTCCATCAATTTTATTTTATTTTCACCAACACTAGCCCCAAGATCACTGTATTTCACTACGCAGTCGACACGTTACTTAAATTTGAATAACTCACATGATTGTCATGTTATAGATTTCTGATGAGGTAAATATAGAGATTATTCACAAATACGTAAGGGTATTAGGGTCGAATCATATGGAGATCCTTAAATAGTCTGGTTGTTGGTTTAAGTCCTAAGCTCGGGTAATGGCACAAGGTCAGAGAGTTCGGAGCTGTAGTGTAGTAAGTGAAGATGCCAAAAGTCCCCCTTTCTAGTATTTAATGCGCTATTTATAGGAGATAAGAGAAGACACATGTCGAGCTCTCGGCATGCCTGACACGTGTTATGCATGCAGATGGTGAGCTAGGTGGCGGTGCAGTGACGCCGACATGTTGTGATGTTCCTGACTTGCCACTAAGCTGTGTGGCCTGGTCAAGGTAGAGAATCTAGGTTTATTCTCCAAGCTAGTGAACTTGGTCGGACTGGCCGTTTCGACCTAAATAGGTCGTGACGGATCCTTTTAGGCTGGGCGAAGACTACTGCTAGTCAAGCATTTGCTCGGTCTTTACACCATGCTCGGGTCAATTACCATCGAGAACAGTTCCTCACGGTAATTTGACTTGATACCGAACAGGTATACAGTACATATAACTGCATAAGTAGGTATACTTGGAAAATATTACTTATCAATTTCAATTAAGGTTTTGCCAAAATTTTGATTGAAAGGATGAAATGCGAATGGAATTTGAAAGTAATATATCAAATGTGAAAAAAATAAATTAAATTAAATGTGAAAGATATACCATACTTAAAGGATCAAAAGTGAAAAAAAAAAAAAAAAAAAAAAAAAACTCATATAAAATATTTTTGTAAGAAAACAATGGGTCAACGGCTTATGGAATTATGGATGATTGGATGGGACAAACGAGCTCCTTCCTTAATTATCCTGTTGGGCTTAGTTTTCGGGCCCATGTCTGCTGCAATATATTTAGCGGGTGTTTGGTTGACGGAGTATTAAATCAATAGTTATGCTGTGCAACCGAATGCACCATGCGCATGGTGCATACGATGTAAAATGATGTCGTTTTGACTAAAAACGTGCGTTCCACTTAAAAATGTTATTGCCGGAAATCGAACCTGATTTTTTCTTTAAGTGTGACGCAAGTTTTTTAACTAAAACGACGTCGTTTTGGACCGAATGCACCATGCGCATGGTGCATTCGGTTGCACAGCATAATTTGCGGTGTTAAATTGTCACGAGAAATGTTAAATTTTTTTGTTTGATTAAAATGAAGTATGTAATATAAACTTGTTTGGTTGAGATTATCTTTTATGTTATAATATAATTATTTTACT